GTGAAATACCGAATATAAAGGGTGCAAAATGGTGGAGCGAATTGGACATTTAGTAAGAAAATGATTTATATCCTTCCAGAAACTTTTCCTAAGCTTATTGAATTGGTAATTTGAGAAGAAAGAAAAAAAATGTTCACGTTTTGGTATAAGCATCATATAATTGAGCTATTTTCGGGGTCTTCGACATTTTGTTTTCTTTTTTAGGTCTTTATTCGGCATCTTTGTTTCTAAGGGGGTAGAAAACCTTTTCTCATAAAATTTTCAATTTTCGGAGTAGGGTCCATCTTGGTCTTGACCACATCCGTCAATTTATTTGGCTAAAAAATTGTATTTAGGCTACTCTGGGGTAGAGAATCATCTTACAGATAATTGTCCACATAGGCATTAACTTAAGTATAGTCCCCACATCAGTGTACCCCCAAGTCCACTTTCTCAGCCAATGTGTGGCCAGAAAAAAAAATTAATAGTCTACTGAATTTTAAACTCCTAAGAGAATATTGGTTAGGAACGTAGATGTGGAATGTACGTCTATATGACATAAACTCCGAAACGTCAAATTGTGGCACAAACATGAAAAAATCACGAATATTAATTTCTTTGATCGTCATTTATACTATGATGAAAAATATGGACTTTATGGGGCCTCCAAAGCACAATTCAAATGACAAGATAAATAAATTCCGATCTTACGCTAATAGGTGTAAAAGAGAAATTATCTTTGACTTTGACAAAACTAAATACCACGCAGCACGGTATTCAAAATATTGGGAGTACAAATTCCAAATTACAGTTAATGTGAATGGAAAATGTTGCTAAGTTCTTAACAATACCAAAAATTGAGCTGAGTTTTCACATGGGGCTATCGTAGAAGTTCTATTAAGGCTATTCAAAATATCTAAATCCGACTGTAGGTGATTATCTATTAAACGTTTTTGCCATGAATGTTTATTTCTATTTAGAAATTAGTATGGATGGAACAAAAGACAAGGGAACTGATGATGAGTGGCTCTTTCCGAAACCTATGTATTCCCAGACTTACCTCTTGGTAAACATTACCATCGTTCTTCACTAATAAACAAATTAAATTAAAATTGGAGTCATTTCAGTCCACATTAGGACATAGCTTCATATCGGAGGTAACTTCTGATTGCTGTGGATAAAAGATTCCTGACACAATTTCAAATCAAAATGCCTCAAATTTGTATCATTAAAGTTCTTTGATGTTGACCTCCATATAAGTGTGATATGTCTTACCATCTCTTTTGGTTGTGTATGAGCGTAAACAAACATCAGCTGAGCGACATTTATATCATCCTATGAGTGTGTGTAAACATAAGAGATAACAAGATTAACCAACTAGTTCCATTAAAGCCAGTGCATTAAATTTTAAATACTATAAACGTGCTTTAAGACAACCGACCTCAAATGGCAGAAGAATACAGGTAGTCGCATCGACACAGCTGCTGGCACAATGAACTGTCAAACCAATTTTGGAATTGAAATTTTTGAATGAAAAGTTATTCAAATATGTTAAAATTGTTAATAGATGCATATCATAACAACCTCCAATTGGCGTCGTTTAGGAAAACATATTCAAATCTACTTGTTTCTGAAGAAACATTTAAACATTATTCACATATCATTGTTCCCAAGCGTTGATGCATCTACCTGTATTCTTCTGCCATGCGACTTCACATACCTACCAATATGGGTATTATAAGTTTGATTGGGCCAGAATTTATGTAACACCTCGAAATATTGGTTCCCCATATAGGAAAGTATATATGGATCTTCCTAGCTCGCCGAGCTGAGTCGATCTAGCTATGTATGTCCATCCGTCCGTCTGTCCGTCTATCCATGTTAATCTGTAATCACGCTACAGGTCGCAATTATGGCCCGATCCTTACGAAATTTTGCACGAAGGTGGGGTTAGGGTCAGAATAGAAGCCTATTTCTTTTGGAGATGATCGCCAAATGTTTAGGGGTTGAAATGGACCAAATACCGAAAAAATGTCGGATTTTGCAGTAGGTATACAGGTCGCAATTATAGACCAATCGACGCGGAATTTCGCATGTAGCTAGAGTTTAGGGCGGGGAAGAAGCCTACCAATTTGGGTGGTCATCGGATAATATTTAGCGGGTAAAATAGACCATATCTTTTGTGTTGAAAAAAATTCAAAATTTTTCATTAAACCGTGAATTATTTAAATCCCGACGAAATCATGACAAGGTTACTTCTGACCTTTGCATTGATGTTAACATCCAACAAATCGGATATATAGCAAAATATGTGCGATATAAATGTCTATCAAAGAAGATATGCTTGAAAGATATTTTATATGTCGAGAACGGCTGAACTGATTTCGACATTTCTCATTAATTCAGAATGGCCTTTTGGCAGGAAAGAAAAAACGTCTAAAAAAATCGCATAAAAATATCTCTCTTAAGATGAAAATATTGGTTTTGTAACATTTTCTCATATTTTTTCAATTTTGTCATATTTTTGGCATATTTTCATTTTGAATTAAACATTTGGTAATATTTCTACAGCTAACAAAACTAAGTAGTTAGGATATCAGGATATCATATACAGATCGCATTTATGGCCCGATCCTTACGAAATTTTGCATGGGGATAATATGAGGGTCAGAATAGATGCCTACTCCTTTTGGAGATGATCGCTATATATTTAGGGGTTGAAATGGACCAAAGAAACTGCAAAATTGTCAGCAGGTCGTAATTATCGCCCGATCCGCATGCACATTTGAATGGGGGTTACCTCACATTGCAAAAGCCAAACAGTTTCAGATGGCCATCCAAAAATATTCAATGTGTGAAATAGTTTGCCAACTTTTGTAGACTAGATACGAAAATGTCCATTCCAGCGACTTTTTGGAGAATTCACAAATACAGGAAAGACGCACTTCTGACTATTTCGGTAACGCTGATTTCGTTGAAGAATATAGTCAAATGTCTGTATCTCATATAGATGCGTTTCAGTCAAAAACCAATAATAAATGTTAATCTTTTGCCACTTCTGAGAGATTATAGGTCTTTGGGAAATATTGGTTCCAGATCTAGGAAGACCATTTACGTGCAACATCTACCAATAATTTGGAAATGAGCAAATTCGTTAAAGTTGCTATTATTCGAAAATTAGAGAACGAAACATAATGTTTTTTTATTATTTGTCACAATATCTTGTGGAGTTCTTTCGAGTATCTCGCCTATATAAACTGTATGGTTTATTACAGTGTTGTGGGGTATTCAACGGTCGGCCCCGCCCGACTGTAGCCTTTGCTTACTTGTTTTTTTTTTATATTTTTACTGTTTGCAATATGGATATTTCGAATCCACTGTCCACTCTTTAATTGGAACGAATGGATGCGGTCCCTCTGACAATCAATGGAAACGTTGGGCCATAGAGCGCGGAAGGCTGGCTGGCGGTATGTGCAGATTTAATTAAACGTTTCAATTGTTTTGTGATTGTGTAAATCAATAAAACAGAAGCACACAGAGATACACACACGCACACTCATACAACGCTGAATTGATCTTAAGCGATCGCGGGCACTGACAATTGTTGTGTTTAGAAAAGAAGCGACAGACAACAACATCAATATTACCAACAATTTCTATTGTCTTCTTTCTTTTTTGTTTTGTTGGGGATCTTTTAAATAAAACGTGAATGAGCGAATAATGAAAACATTGTGTCCGATCACAAATGGCTCAATTTTTGGGTGGGGGATGGGGGAACTGTACTGAACTCAAACTAACAAGATTGGCAGCAATAACAGAGCTATGTGTGTGTGTGTGTTTGTGTTTGTGTCTGTGTATTTGTATTGTTGTAACGAGCGTGGCGGGAAATTGGACGAACACCGCCATAAGTTGCCATTATGTGAAACATTCATTTTGCTTTGTTCGTCCGTTCGTTGCTTGGGAACTTCCAAATTTTGGAACATTAAATGGTTAGCAGCCTTTGCCATGACTTCTTTCTATTTTTCCATGTTCTAGCCATTCTTCTGCTTCATCATCTTTAGATCGGTTAGGTTCCCGCTAGATGTTATGTCGTTGTTTGGCATTCAAGCACCGAACAGACTAGACCCACATACGCGTGCTGATGATTAAATGTTTAAAAATAATTTATTTTGTATTCGACCAGTGTCTGTTTTGTTTTACTTGTTGTTGTCTCGTCGTCGTTTGCTATATTGTATTTTGTTTTGTATTTTTTCTGCATTTGAATTGGCTTTTTTCGGGAGATTATGTCAGCACTACACATTTTGGAATGTAAAGCGCGAAAAAGTTGGCAAGTCAGTGTGCAATTCTCTCCTCTCGTTTACAAGGCAAATTACTATGAATAGCGTTGTTGGTGTTGTTGTGATTTTTCACAGCAATTTGCTATTATGGAGTAGTTAGTCTCCCTCTTGGGTAAAATATGGCCGGCCACACATCAGAGTATCCATTAAATAACGTATGTGTGTACATATGTATGTACTCGTATGTATGCATATGCACACACATCAACGTAGCAACGTCAATATAATAATGGCATCCATTGTTAACTCCATAATATCGGCTGTATTCCCCCGAAACCCACCGATATCAACACGGTCAGGCAGGCCTACCATGATATCATGGAAATTGATAAGTCACCGTTAAATGATAGGTAACAGAGCAAAACTTGTTTTACACACTCGTCACCTTCGCATGTGAACTCTGAAAGCAAGCAAAACTTTTGTTTTTCTTTGGAGCAAATGTCACTGCCAATTTCGGGCTATTTTATTTGTGGAATTCATATTAACAATTCCCTGAGCAAATTTTTTAATAGCTCATAATTAATTCACTTCGAAGCAAGTTTCAATACGATATAAGACATTTTGGTTATAGGGAATTATCCCAGCATTAATAGCAATGACAATCACATACAAGCATCTCAAAAAGTAATAAAAACTATGTTCCCCGTTATATTCTCAGTAAGCTGAAAAATAATCATTACTTACTTTTACAATACCAAATAATGAGTAATGACAGTACAGAGTGAGCACGTTCGGCTACAAAAAATATAAGAAAAGTACGAAGAGCAACGATTAATGTTCGGAACAGTGGATGGTGTGCCCGATTATCAATCAGAAGATCGCCGTTTCAAACTACTTATCAAGAAAATAAAATAAACCAGTAAAGAAAGTCTTAAAGTCGGGCGGGGCCGACCCTACACCACTTTGCTATTTTAGTAGAGCTCCGCATAACAATTAAAAGTTCATACATGCTATGATTATAAATTAAAGTTCAAAGGACTGAATCTGCCGAAGAATTTGTATCTTTTAAATTCGGACTTGTATTACACATTTGGTGCACAATTAACTTGAAATCGGATAAAGATATATATGGGAGCTATATACAAATCCGATCTCGATAAAATTTGGCAAAGATATTTCTGAGCCGTATTTGATATATTTCCCTGAAAATCGTCCTTACTGAGTGCATATTACACTTACAGTGGGTAACAAATATAACAAATCGGATGAAGAGTATATATAGGAGCTATAGCTATATCTGAATCGATCTTCACCAAATTTGACATACTAGCTTCTAGACTCAATTCGGTCGTAAGTGCCAAATTCCATCCCGTTTGGTGCACAATAAAAGGTAAATCGGACGAAGTTATATATGGGAGCTATATCCAAATCTGAACCGATCTCGATAAAATTTAGCAAATGTATTTCTGAGTTGTATTTGATATATTTCCCAAAATATTGGACAAAAATAACAAATCGGATGAACAATATATATGGGAGCTATAGCTATATCTGAAGCGATTTCGATACAATTTGGCATACTTATTTTCAGGCCTAATCTGGTTGTATGTGCAAAATTCCATAGCACGTTTGGTGCACAATAAAATGCAAATCGGACGAAGATATATATGGGAGCTATATCTAAATTTTGACTGATTATCTCCAATTTCAATAGGGTTCGTCCTTGGACCAAACAAATGATTTGTGCAAAATTTTATCTGGATAGGACAATAAATGCGAGTTGTACTTTGTTTACAAAAATACATGGACAAACGGACGGACGGACATGCATAAATCGACTCAGAATGTGATTCTATGTAGATCATCAAAATGAACTATGGGTCTATCTCGTTTCCTTTTGCCTGTTACAAACAAATGCACAAAGACATAATCCCCTGACCACCTTGTGGTGTAGGGTATAAAAACAAGGAATGGGGTGTGGTGAAATTAAACACAAATTCAACCTTAGTTCTTTTTTAAAGTAGTTTTAAACTTCCATTTGTGGCAGTTTTGTTTGCACTTAATTCCTATAACATGCTCATATTAAAATAAGGTCTTAAAATGCTATTTTGTAGTTACTGACACTAGATCAGATTTTTTTTTGCTGGGATAGGATAATATAAAGATCAAAAGAAATTCATTCAATTATAATTAGGTCTTTAAACTCGAAAAAGCACGTAACGACAGTACTTATCTGTACCGAACTTTTTGTACCTTCCAAAATTATAGTCAACGTTTCTGATTTTTAATCCCACAAACTTAGGATATCTTTATGTTTAGCATAGCTCTCATATAAGGATACCTTCTGATGGATCAGTACTTATCACTTTCAATATTAAAAACGGTAGACATATATCAAAGCTATATTCTTTAGACGTTTCCAGGCTGAACTCACTTGCTAAAGACAGAAAATCATGAAGATGGGACAAGATGAAGTTAAGTTTTACTATCAGACCAATGACAACAGGAACAAATTGTATTTGATCTATGGCCTACCTTGTAAATTATTATATCTTATATATACAATGACTGCAAGGAAAGAGACCAACCAGGGGCAACAAGTTGTTATACCCTCCACCATAGTATGGAGGGTATATTAAGATTGTCATTCCGTTTGTAACACCTAGAAATATACATTTTAGACCCCACAAAGTATATATTCTTGATCAGCATAAAATTCTACGTCGATTTAGCGATGTCCGTACGACTATCCGTCTGTGGAAATCACTCTAGCTTCCGAATGAATTGAAGTGGATTGATAAAATTTTACTGAAATGTGTGTTATGTCCGCAGGACTGAATTGAATTTGGTATTGAAAATGGGCCATGTAGGTTCACGTTTTGGTATAGCCCCCATATAACGGTGCCTCTCGATATTCGGTATTTTGATGATTTTAGCGACATTATTTACCGGAATAGTTTTAAATTTGGTATTTGAAGTAATGGATACTACAGCCTAAGACAGAAAATTGTCTGTGCAGGTCCACGCCTTCGTATAGCTCCCATATAACGGTACCTCCCAATATTCGGTACTTTGATTGATTTTATCGACATTTTTTACCGGAATTAGTTTCAAATTTGGTATTTGATGTTCGCAATGGATACTACAGCCTAAGACAGAAAATTGTCTGTGCAGGTCCACGCCTTCGTATAGCTCCCATATAACGGTACCTCCCAATATTCGGTACTTTGATTGATTTTATCGACATTATTTACCGGAATTAGTTTCAAATTTGGTATTTGATGTTCGCAATGGATACTACAGCCTAAGACAGAAAATTGTCTATGCAGGTCCACGTCTTCGTATAGCCCCCATATAACGGTACCTCCCGATATTCGGTATTTTGATCATTTTAGCTACATTATTACAGATTTCTTTTTTCAAGTTTCGCATTTAAATATTGTAATATCTTATGACAATGTCATCGCATAGATCCTAATATAACAGCAACATTCGATATTTTTTAAGATTTTAACAGAATTTTTAACGGATTTCATTGTTTTTGAGAATTGCCAAATTCGTTGCAAATTGTGGAGGGTATTCAAAGTTCGACCCGGCCGAGCTTACAGCTTTTTTACTTGTTTTTTTAATCACATTCTACGTAGCTATAAACATAGATTTTAATTTGGTTTATACCCATGGCTCAAGGAGAACAGTTGCTCAACTTCAAAGAAACCAGGAAAATGCAACTCTGTACTGGTGTCTTATTATGTCAAATAGACTTTTTAAGCAGCAACAATTTCTTTTTTTATTTAATTTACAGAATAGGGGCACCAAAAGAAAAATTGTATTTGGGGGGGGGGGGGGGGTGTAGCTTTGTTCTACTTTCTGTAATTCTGCCATGTTCATACCAAAATTTTGTTACAACTTTATTTGAATATTTTATAAACAATACACACACAAACGCAACATAATTCGACATGAAAAGTCAAACCAATAAAACAATTGATTTATTGTACCATGGTAAAATGTAACGTTAACTTGGTTTTAAGCCAAAAAGAAAAAACATCTTAATATTAAACGGAATTGTGGAGAGGGCTGATAAAATAATCTAATTTATAAATCCCGCAAAATGTTGCGACGACATTATTTAGAGGACAGGAATGCATTTATTAACCAAATTTGAAGAAATGTTTTATTTATAGTGTATATATATGTGTACATATGTTCATGGTAGAAGAATATAGGTAAATGCATCGACGCTTGGGAACATTGATATGTTAAAATTTTCAAAATGTTTTCTCCAAAATAAGTAGATTTTTGTATGTCGTATGAAGACGCAAATCGGAGGTTAATATAATATGTATCTTTCAACAATTTTTACAAACCTCAATAATTTTTCAATCAACATTTTCAATTGCAAAATCAGTTTGACAGTTCATTGTCCCAGCAGCTGTGTCGATGCGACTACCTGTATTCTTCTACCATGCATATGTTCTTGCATACATATTTGTTTCACTTTCCGAATATTCTAGATTTTTTAAGAAAAAAATTTCCATATTTTGTTTTTGATAATTTACAATTTTGAATATAAAAATAAACAAATTTGGAAAATTCGAAACATGCATTACAGGCCCACAATTAAGGCAACCAATTAAGGTTGTTTCAATTTAATTTAATAAAAAAAAATAAAGAAAACGTAACACTCATCAGATTTCATACGTACTCGTAAGTAGATACCTATGGTTTGTTGCTGTTGTTTTATTAAAGGTTAATTACCTTTAAAACGACTTTTGTGTTTTCATTCTTCAGAACAGATACATTGTTCGGTTATGATATTTTGAAATGGCTATGACATCATCAATTTGTATTGTTGTGTTGTCTTTAACTATCTAGAGTCGGATTGAAATGGGAAGCGAAAGAACTGTGCAAAAAGATACGGATACGGATATATAAATGATGGGACCTCAGACTGTGAAACGTGGATTTTATTATATGGATAAAAATCAATTTTATACTAACAAATACATTATAGTCTTAATGTCTCTCGGTGGGAAATTGAGTTCATATATTAACTGTCGAAGCGTAAAGATTGCCTGTGTGACGTTGGGGGGCTTCAAGATTTGTGGGAGAAGAATTATGCATAAAATTGTGTTTAATGCTTATTAAGCCTCCATCTTGATAGTGGCTATATTTCCCCTGTATTATTAACGTCTTTGATGCATCGCTACTTCGTTGGATGTGCATATTTTTTATAAATATTATATATACGAATACTAATACACAAAGAACGATTTAGATTGACACTGTGGCTGAAATTTCGGATATGTATTGAAATTTAGTACTCAAATATTCGAAGATCTTTAGATTTTTTCGTACATTTCCATAACCCATTTTCGACTTCGCCGCAATGTTTCGCATTATTAAACCACTTCAATATCAATATGTCCGTGGGTAATTCGTCACCGAAACTTTATCAAATAGATATGGTTTACTGATAAGAAGATAGCGAAATTGCAGGGCCGTAAATCTGATCTTATTATTGCAATATTTTTTTTTCGACAAAAACAAATTTCAATTAATAATCAGACAATTAGTCACGGTACCCCAACCGAAAACGGATGAAAAAACTACTTTTTACGGTGCCTTCAAATATAAGAACATATTGAAAGTTAGGCTTCTGTATGAAGATTCTTTGCAGTGGAATTTGTTTATTGTGTGCAATTTTATACCCTACACGTGGTCAGGGTAATATGTCTTTGTGCATTTGTTTGTAACAGGCAGAAGGAAACGAAATAGACCCATAGTTCCTTTTGATGATCTGCATAGAATCACATTCTGAGTCGATTTATACATGTCCGTCCGTCCGTCTGTCCATATACAGGTCGCATTTATTGCCGGATCCAGATGAAATATTGCAAAGATCTTTTCTTTGGCCCAAGGACGAACCCTATTGAAATTGGAGATAATCGGTCAAATTTTAGATATAGCTCCCATATATATATTCGTCCGATTTGCCTTTTATTGTGCACCAAACGTGTAATATCAGTCCGAATAGTATGGAATTTTGCACGTACGATCAGATTAGACCTGAAAATAAATATGCCAAATTTGATCGAAATCGGTTCAGATATAGCTATAGCTCCCATATATATTGTTCATCCGATTTGTTATTTTTGTCCACCGCCGCCGTAATATGCACTCTGCAACAACAATATTTGGGGAAATATATCAAATACAGCTCAGTAATAAATTTGCAAAATTTTATCGAGATCGGTTCAGATTTGGATATAGCTCCCATATATAACTTCGTCCGATTTACCTTTTATTGTGCAATGTTTGTCCAAATGGGATGGAATTTGGCACTTAGGACCGAATTGAGTCTAGAAGCTAGTATGTCATTATTTGGTGAAGATCGGTTCAGATATAGCTATAGCTTCCATATATATTATTCATCCGATTTGTTATATTTGTTATCCACAACCGTAATATGCACTCCGTAACAACGATATTCAGGGAAATATATCAAATACAGCTCAGAAATATATTTGCCAAATTTTAATGAGATGGGTTCAGATTTGGATATAGCTCCCATATATATCTTTATCCGATTTCAAATTAATTGTGCACCAAATGGGCAATACAATTCCGAATTTAAAAGATACAAATTCTTCGGCATATTTAGTCCTTTCAACTTTAAATTATAATTATAATCATGATTGAATTCTCCCATAAAAAACTTTTAATTGTTATGTGGAGCTCTACTTAATTAGCAAAGTGGTGTAGGGTATCATAAAGTCGGCCCCGCCCGACTTTAAGACTTTCTTTACTGGTTAAATAATGCAACCCAATACATTTAAAATTTAGAAATAGAAAGGCTCATCATCGACATCGACAGACATCGCCTGATGACCTACATATGTCAGCAAAAATTTTTCTATTTTAGTTCTGCAACCATCAAGCAACTGAATTTTTACAATTCTATGCTAAAGCCCATGGTAGAATTAAGAAGGTGACCTCAATTTAAATAAGCAAACTTAACTTATGTATTCAGTTTCCTCCCTAATATATGCGTGATATATATATATATATATATATATACATATATATATATATATATATATATATATATATATATATATATATATATATATATATATATATATATATATATATATATATATATATATATATATATATATATATATTTATATATATATACATATATAAAGAATGTACATATATAACTGAAATTCAGAAATTTGATATTGAGATCACTGTTGATCAGAAAATTTCCATGTGGATCCATTGTGCAATGGTTTTACTAATGCCTCCTCAATAAACTTCAAAATGAAAATTTTTGAAGACTTTTTGGTGTAAAAGGTAAACATTTTTCTCCTATTCTCTCCGAAAAAGGAAAAAACTTGTATGATATATAAAACCTTGAAAGTCTGAAAATATAGTACGACATATGAAGTTTTGATAAAAAAAATGTACTCAACTAACTGCACATTTTGAGTACTAAAAATATATAAAACGAATTGTCGGAACGAATCTAAAATGTTATGGTGGACTTTTCACTGACAAAGTAGCAGGCACTATAAAACCCCTGAAATTTCGACTGAACCAAAAAAGTAAAGCTTATTTAAGCTTATTTATTAAAGAGAAACTTTCTTTTGCCTGAATACGATAACACACATATAATATAATCCCCTACAATGGCATCCGTAAATTCGAAAAAAAAAAAACAACAGACATTATATTTCGAGTGTATTTCCATAGATGGTATTTGTACCTACCTGTTGTATTACAATATTCCAAATAGTAGACATTCACCCACACTGCCGGGGTGTAGATGTAAATCTATCTGCGTGCTTTTGTTGCTTGCTTCGCTGCTGTGTGGAAACGCTAGAGGGAAATTGTGGAATTCGATTTGCTGGGACTGTGTTGGAGTTGTAAGGCAATTGGCAAATATTTGCGTACGCTTGTATGGTTTTATTTGTTCAAAATCGACACTCACTCAGAACACTCACTGGTCGGTCACTCTTGATTTCACTTGTCTAAATTTCCCTACGTTCATTGACCAACGCGCAGGAAGGTTAGATGATGGAACAGCCAATAGGTGCCGTCCAAATTATATATTTATATTATTATTATTATTAGTTTTATTCGTGAGAATAGCTATCCCATATGTGGTATTAATCACCACCAGGTTTTTTTATTTGCGTTTTTCAGTTAGCCATTAGATAATCTCTAATCAATGGGGGACAGGCGGGGATACAATCCAAATATTTCTCTTATTCCTTGGCTCTTTGCATTTGTTTTCCTTTCGTACTTTTCAATTATTTCTTCTTCACCTTTTCTTTTGTGATATTAATTTATTTATTCTATATAGCTAAAACAACAACAGAAGCAACACTCTGAATGAAATCAACAACAACAACAATATTGATATTAAATGTAATAAAAACAACAATAACAACGGCTGCAAGACAACATCACTTTTGTATTATTTCATTTTTAAGGTATTTCAATATTTTTATTTTATTTTTTCTTTTTATTTTCAGATACCTACATATACATATATGTATGTATGTAGGAATATATATTTTTTGGTTGACATCAGCTATGGCCTCTCTCAGCCGCCACTTCTCCCGTTCGAGAGAAAACTGAACTGAACTAAACACTCACATTCACCCGAACACGCGACGAACCCAGTCGAAAGAAACACACAGTCGCCAATTGAATTCAGCTCCGTAACAATTCTTCGCAATTTTATGTTTTGCCAAAGTATCGGATCGGATCGAATCAAATCAACTCAAATCGTATCAGATGTGATGGAATAGTCGCAGAGCATCGGATGCGACGTGTGACGTATCTATTCTCCGCTGTATGTTTTTTCTTTACAATTAAAGAAACTCGCTCAACGAGTCTCAGACTAGAACTGATTGTCTAGAAAATATCGGCAAACAAAATTTGCTCAGAAAGCTACCGCCTGACTGCTAAGGCCAATCGATATTCACACTCGCACACGCACGTACTCCAACACTCACATACAAGCACTGATAGCGACAGACAACTTTGCCAGATAGACGTCGATCGAATAGAGCGCCACAAGCGTACGAACGCTCGTGGATAGATGGTGGGGTTCGCTCAATTTCTCGCACACCTTGTAGCTGTTGCTCTTGCCTGCCTCTTACTAGCTGGCCGATATGAATGCCGCTGAGTCCATAAGATGTTTGTTTATGAGGTATGCATGTGTGTTTGTACGGACATACATACATACATATGTATATACACGAGGGTATTTTACGCTCACAAAGTATCCACGGTGAGCTTTTTCTCATTATCACTTGCGTCAATTTTGTACGACCGTATTTCAAAATAAAAATCGCGATACCTGTAGGAAATTTGGCCGCTTACACTTGGGGGCTGTAGAAACTGATAATGAGTAATATTGTTCTGTACATTCATAGAAGATGATTTGTATCTTAGCCACCCAACAAACCAGACAGTCATAATTTGGGGAAAACGAAAATATCTGATTAGTATTCTAGTTCGTCGTAAGTGGCTAAATAGCAATGGCAAAACCATTGTTTTGTGTCCTTGCCAAAATTTAGTCAATATTAAGCCTTTCAGAGCTGTCCCATTTCAGGATATTCATTCAGGAAGTGTGATTGCAAAAAATACTGGTAATGAACAATCTGAAATATTTATTTTAGGGGGTTATAAGTTCAACATGACCTCCATTACTTGATTGACCTACATTTGATAACGAGTGGTTCTACTTAAGGCTGAAGTAATCTCACTCGTAGCCAGAAGCACCTAAATGACCCACAAACCTAAAGATAAAATCAGTTAACATCACCATTTATTTATGTGCCCAATTTTTCTAATATAAGTACAAATATTGCAATGGACGAACCTTGAACAATAGTGGGGGAAAAGTTCGTATTTTATAAGAGCTGTGATTATAAAACATTTTGAATCTTTGTGGGAGAGATATCCGAAGAAGGAGACCGACATATCATCAGACCGACATCATAGCCGTTATTTGGGGGCTATACGATATCGTGGACCAATATAAATAATTCTCTTCCAAGGGATAAAGTACTTACAATGAACTCCTTGTGCGGAATTTCAGACAATTCCATTGAAAAATCTGGCTGAAATCAGCAAAATACCGAATATCGACGGGTACCTTTATATGGGGGATATACAGGGGCTAAAGTGCTCACAAAGAACTCCTTGAGTAGAATTTCAGACCATTCCATTGGGAAATGTGGCTAAAAACATTGTATGGGGGCTATACGATATATTGGACCTATATAGACAATTCTCTTAAAGTGCTCACAAAGAACTCCTTGTGTAGAATTTTCATTGGAAAATGTGGCTAAAATCATCAAAATACCGAATATCGGGGGTATCGTTATATGGGGATTATGCTATATCGTGTACCTAAATAGATAATTGTCTTTCAAGGGATAAAGTACTCACAAGGAACTCCTTGTGTAGATTTGCAGACAATTTCTTTGAAAAATGTGACTAAAATCCTCAAAATACCGAATATCGAGGGGTTCCGTTATATGCGGGGATATACGATATCGTGGACCGATATGGCTCATCTTCGAACTTGACCTGCCTGCAGACAAAAGAGGGATCTGTGCAAAATTTTTGCTTCCTATCTTATTTCGTTTTACTGTAGCGTGTTTACAACAGAAGATCAAGATGATCAAGAATATATATTTTTTGCTGGGTCTAAAATGATTATTTCGAGGAGTTACAAACGGAATGACGAACTTAATATACCCTCCATACTATGTATGGTGGAGGGTATAAAAAAAATCAGACATTGAATTCTTCCTTTAAGAGTGTTATGGGAAACTAATATAGTTTAGTGGGGAATAAGTTGGCAATTTATAAGAGTTGGAGTCCGAGAAGTGAATATAATTGTCAAGGTGAGATATCTAAAGTATGAAGAAAATCGGAAACCCGCTTTTGCCATTCTCGCTCTTGACTTAAGCTTGGACACCAGATTCGTTTTATATGTCTTGTATATGTCTCATATGACTTTTTTGGAATTGTTGCAACTTTTTAGGAGAGAAGAAAATAGTGGAATTATTTCCACATTAACTCCATAATAGACACAAATATTGAGATGTGAAAAAATTAAAAAAAAAAAAAACAAATCAGACTATATGGAGTCTCCTGTGATTGTTTAATCGATTTATTCATATATTTTCTGTGAAAATTAAAAGTCCTAATAAAAAGGACGCATCATTGTTTTAATATATTCTCTCTGGATAAAGAAGTGAAAAACGTTATTTAATTCGCAAATCAATTCGCATAGCGATCCTTCACATTTCACATAGCAATCCTTTATTTTTACTAACTACATTACAGCGAATGCTTTTCCAACTAATGATGAGTATATGTTCTTCAATTGTAAAGGGTATCACAGCCCTAGCTCCGAGATTTTAAGTTTGACTCATAAGGAATGTCTCACATCAGCTTCTTCTTCAATATATATAAAAATCAAATGTTGTTCGTCGGTAATGGAATCAGTTGTGAACGGCTGAACCGATTTGCATAATTTTTTTGTATAAACGTTCGTCATACCCCGAGTTAGGTTTAAAAAATATATTGACCACGCCTACTTTTACGCCCACTATTTCGATTTATCTAAAACCCTTATATTTGCCAAATAATGAAGAAATTGGTTTTAAAATTGTTACACGGCATGCTGTTGACTTTCCCTCCAATCCTAAGTATTTATTTGGGGGCTGAGGAACTGATCACGACTACTTTTTAATCTATATATAAACAAATTGTTGTTCATTCGTAATTGAATCAGTTAAGATCGGCTGGAACTATTTGGATATTTTGTATTTAAATGTTCGTCCTACCCCGATTTAGGTTTTTATGCAAAGAAAAAATGACCACGCCCACGATTTATCGAAAATCCTAATATTGGCCAAAATCATGAAGATATCTGTTCCACAGTTAGTATACGTAGTATTGACTCTCTCCCCCCCCAACCCTAGGTATCTGTTTGGGGTCAGAGGAACTGGAGGAAAATATAATATAGTAACACATCTGTTGAGAACGGCTGGGCCGATTTGACTCAAATTTTCTTTTGGTTATTTGTCATTACACTGGAAACGTTGTCATCAAGGAAAATTTTGAGAAAAATCGCGGAACTGAAAAAATTGACTGTTCGATTATGATATGGAATTTTGTGTAGAATTATTTCAGAATTCCTTTTGGAATTGAAAATTCTTAAAAAACCGAAAAAATCAAAAAACTTTGCATATTTACTATACTTCCTGTTATATGGTTGCCATGCCCAAATTTTCAATTTTGATTAGATATGGAAATAATTCATCCAATGAGAACTCCAAATGCAAAATTCATTGGAACATCAATCAGTGAAATACCGAATATGAAGAGGCACTGTAATATGCGGACTATACAAAATAGTGGAGTGAATTGAAATTACAGTAAGAAAAGGATTCATATACTCGGAAAATTCTTCCGAACCATTAAAAGTAACCTTAAATCACAAGTAACGTAATACAGGCACTATGCGCTATCGTCAGTAATTACACTGCGCCGCAGATAATCTTGGTGTTAGGAAATTTTTCGGTTGGTAAATAAAAATCCCAAAAGAGGAGTTCCCGGATCTAAAGAGTCCATTTTATATAGCTTAACAATACACAAAGGGCATAAAATATTTTGCCCTATACTCCGCAAAAGTTAATATAAAGTTTTAAATTTGATACAGTCCTAGGGGTTACATTAGGAATCATTTGTACAAAATATGTGTCAGGTTGGTTTACATTGTGATATAGCCCCTTTAAAATTCCTCAAATGTTAGTAATTTGAGATTTTAGAAAGAAAACCAAATTCTTTCAAATAGTTATAAGTATAGGACTATGCTTCATTATAACTCTTATGTGAAGGTATCCGGTGATTTTAGCTATTACCAGGGTCTTGGTAGAAGTCCTCTTCGCAGAAATTTTTCAATGTCAATGTTTCGAAGTAGGGCTCATATAAAAGTACCTCATGATTTTACCTTTTTCGAGGGTTTTGATTATATTTTCGAATCGATTTGTGTGTGTTTAGGCTACTTTGGGGGTAGAGAACCATCTTACACGGGCCTATTATAAACCGTTAATGTATACTTTTTAATATATATGTTATACTAGCTGGCCCGGTCCGCGTTGCCGGCCCGTAGTTTTAGTCTTTAATGCAAATTTTGCATAGCATAATATTTCACAAATCTAGCTCATAAAAGTGAACAAATTTTAATATAAATATTGATTCGACTAAATAGAAATAAATAACTATGGAAGGAGGGCAAAATAATTTCTGAATAGTCAAAGTTAATTACACTTTTACACCCATTACCATAGCACCTCAAATTGCGCATTAGAGTCCACAAAAAGTCTATGTTCTTGTTCATAGAAAAATTCAATGACGATTAAACAATACCCGCGTTGTTGTCCATCAATCGGTAAACATCACTATGATCGGCGGGCCTGGGGACTATATGGGGACTGTACCAAAATATTTACGTATGTTGACATTTTTCTGTAAGATGGTTCTCTACTCACAAAGTAGCCTAAATACAGCAAATAATGGCCAAAATAGTTGAAAAATCAGGGATACATTTATATATAGGTTATACCAAAACGTGGCCCAACCAATATTCTCTTGGGGGTTACAAATTCAATAGAAAACAAAATTTTCTTTTCTGACCACCAATTAGATGTGAAAGTGGACTTGTGGATACTCCAATATGGGGACTTTACTTAAATAAATACCTATGTGGCAATTATCTGTATGGTGGTTCCCTGCCCCAGAGTAGCATAAATACAATTATTAACCAAATGAATTAATGAATGTGGTCAAGACCAAAATGGGCCCTACTCTGAAAATTTCAAACTTTATGCGAAGAGGTTCTCTACCTCCTTAGAAACAAAGATGCCAAATAATGGACAAAATATTAAAAAAGTGACCAAGACATCAAAAATAAATATGAAATCGGGTTGTACCCTTATCCGTGAGTTATGATCGATATCATGACCTGCAAAAGCGATTTAAGGTATCTTGAATGTTTGGGAAGATTTTCTGGAAGGATAGAAATCCTTTTCTTACTAAGAGTCCCATTCG